GTTGACTGTATGTATTAATTACACTGATGTTTGTAAAAAATTCAACACCATGAAGGAATCATCAGAATTCAATGAACCTTGCAGCAAATATCAATTATAGGATGCTACGCAAAATAGTACAGTTTCAGAGACGCTGCGCATGCGTGACGTGCGCAGTGCGCTCTGAACTGATGTCGAAAACGTGTAAATAGAGGGCTGTAGCGAGACGTTGAAAAGAGTTAATGACTACTTGTTAGCGGCGAACGTTTATTAAGACCTAAGTATGCCTCGGCGACGAAATAAAGAGAATTTCCAACAGCTTACGGATTTTAACCGAGAAGGGTTATCGGCCTTCGAGAAGGAGGTTTTTCCTATCACACAATAGGAGCTCTTGTGCAGCGGAACAGTTCCACAGTGATGCGAGTTTGAAGGCAGTGGACCGATGATCACCAAACAACTCGAAAAACTGGCAGTGTACGACAGAAGTGAAGTCAACGCGCGATGATCGACACCTGATCCGCATGGCGGCGAATAATCTTACAGCTTCCTCCAGGCAGTTGGCAGCACATTGGTGTACGATTACAAGTGTGCTAATTCCGGCTTTGTCAATTCGTCGACGTTTGCTGCACCGTGGATTGCGTACAAGGGTGCCTTTATACAAGGTCTTTCTCACGGCAAACCATCGAACGGCTGCGTCTACTAAGGACTCATGAGCACAGAGCCTGGCAAGCTGATTGGCATCAAGTTGTCTTTTCACATGAATTACGCTTCAATTTGTGGGACCATGATGGCCGCATTCGTGTTAAACACTATTATGGTGGACGCTGCCTTCCAAAGCGCGTTATCGAACGACATAGTGTCCTAACACACGGAATTATGGTTTGGGGGTGTGATTTCGTAACATGGAATATTCAGTTTGCTACAAATTGAAGATAATCTTGATAGCAATAGTTAGGACCGTAAAGAGCTACAGCCCAAAGTCTTTAAGGTATCCCCGGAGCTAACTTTCAGCAGGATAATGTGCGCCAACATGTTGTAAAGACTGTTCGAGACTTATGTTCAGACTAACACATGCAACTTCTTCTTGCTTATTCACCGGTGTCTCGCTCGTGAAAAGCGTCTTGCAGCTTCAAAATACGAACTTTTGCTGCGTATGCAAGCCATATCGAATTCTCTTTCACAACAGACATTCAACATCTGTTTGACCCCATGCCACGTCGTACAGCAGCAACTATTGCAGCGCTTGGTGGCTACACTAAATACTTATTTCGGATACTTAATATTGTTTTTTATTTATTTTTATTTATTTTGCTTTTAAAATGTCGTCATTTATTTGTACTAATGCAAGTCGTTTGTGTAATAAATTTTATTTAATCCTGATGATTCCTTCATAGTGTTCCAATTTTTACAAACAGCAGTTTAGATGGCAGTGAAATGTTAATACACACACACACACATAATTTGATAAATGTCATCATGAACGTGATTTTTAGAATTAAAAAATTGTAGTTTAAGATACAAAGTAAGTAATAAATGATCCACGTCTTAAAAATTAAATAATGGTTAATACAAAAATAAGCGTGTAATAAATTTTAGCATACATTTAAAAAAATATTACAATATAGTCGACTCTCGATAATTCTAAGTTGGACGGACCAATAAAAACTTCAAAGCATCAAGAGTTGCATTTATAAAGGGGGTAAAAGGAAGGAAAAAAAAAACGTTCCAAAGTACATGCAGAGAATTTTTTTTTTCTAAAGCATTTAAATTTAAAACCATATAAAATAAAAAAATATACGTATGTATAAAATTGTATTAAAGTATTTTTAAAAAGTACATATGATAAAATATAAATCTTATACAAAAATTAAAAGTCTTGGACTTATTTAAGGAATGCATTTATGTATTAAAAACTATTATTTCTGCACTTAATTACAGTACATCATACTATACATAATTAGTCTTTTTTGACGAAAATATATATTAAATTTTTTTCATGGCTTTCAATATAATTTTGTCAATATATTTTTCTAGAATAAATGAACCTTGAAAAAGGTCCTCTGAAAGGTGATTTTGGAAAAGTAAATACGAGTAGTTAAATCCCGCAACAAGCTCTTTTATCATAAATTGTGTAACGACTTCATTAGTTGATTGGAAAAACGTTTTAAAAGAAAAGTTTATTTCATTCTTTTTAGAGCATTTAATTAAAGCTTGTTTTTTTTAAAAAAAATTACTTTTAATTTATTTTTTACTTTTTTAGTTATAGCTGGACAGGAGGTTCTCAGTTTGTTAATCTCATTCAACGCATTATTGTTGCAAGGTCGTTAGCCCGTTAATTTTGAATAGTCGAGCTAAGGGGTAATGAACTTTCTTCTCTCGCCACAGGCCATATATATGATAGATATTTCACTCAGACCGCAACAAGAGGATAATTGAAAGGGAAGATATGTACTGGAAGACCAAAACAACATTGGACAAAGTAAAATAAATTAAAATATTAAAACTTCATTCATTTTCTATTTTGTTTTTGTTTTTAATATAAAACTATATTAAAAATAAAAAATACTATTTTTTTAAATCCGTGATTTTAAACCAATTTTTTAAAATTTTTGTGCAGAATTTGTGTAATACTTTTCTACCAATAAAAATATTTTCGTGCGATTATATTTAAAAATGATGAAGTTTTTAAATGTTTTTATTAAAAAGTTAAGTATTTTTTGAAAATTTGTAAAAAAAAAAAGTTTCAGGCATTTTATTTTTAAATGACTGATTCTAAAAGAGAAAAGCCTGAACTTTCTTAGTGCAGAATATCGATTCAATAACACGAAAAAAAATTCATACGGAATGATATAGAAAGGATTTTCATGAAAACGCTTAGATTTTGACACATATTTGAAAAAATTGTAAGAAATAGAAAATTTTATTATTTTATTTAAAAAAATTATACCGATTCCTATATTCCACACCCGAAAAAATTTCTTTAATTAATATCTACACTATTGAAATTCAAAGGAAAACAAACGTATGCGAGTATTATTCTAGGTGCATCTTCTCACGAACCACACGACGCAAAACTTGACGACGGTACCAAAGCTTTGGAATGATCAAAGGAATCGGTTTTGACCATTCATATTCCAAAAGTGCAATTACTTAAAAATATATTAATTAAAATTTAAAACGCTTAATTATTGCCATTTTTGCCCACCAGGTGGCGAAGTTCAAATTTTCTGACCATTTTTTTTGTATCTCAGATGCTTTTAAAACACGATCTAATCTTTTAACGTGACTCAGAGAAAAAAATAATTAGAGAGTCGAAAATATCATTTACTTTGCAACGAAACGGTATAATTTATTTTACAAAATAATGATACTTTCTATTTTTACGATTTTTTATAAATTCAGTCAGAATCGATACATTTTTATGAAAATGATTTCTAAATCGTTCCGATTGCCTCTTCTGTCATGTTAATGAAATGATATTGTACACTAATAAAATTCCTGTTTTTAAGTTTTAGAATCATTCATTTTAAAATAATATGTCAAAAACGTATATTTTTTACGATGTTTCAAAAAATACTCAAATTTTTATTAAAATACTTAATAATTTCTTCAATTATAAAAATAATTTCATGAAACATTTTTTTCCGGTTGTAGAACAATATTATTTGTAATCTGTACAAAGATTGAAAAAATTGTGTTTTTCGTTTTTTTTCCTTTTTACGAGTAATATTTAAGCATTATTTTTGTTACATTTTTTGTTTAAAAATTACTAATGTCTGTAATCGATACGTGGAGTTTGAAGGCATTAACTGAAATGTAAAGCCCGAATTCTTTAATTTTTTTTTATAAATAACGCAATGCAGAATTAAATATCTATTTCTTTTATTTCAACGGTCTATTTATTTTTTCGTATATTACATGGATTGGTCGCATAGAGCGCTGGATTAGTAACTTTTGTATTAGGGTTGAAAACATCATCATCGTTCACAGTTTTTATGATTTTTTTAAAAAAATACTCATAATTTTATTAGCGCATTTAATAACTTTACTAGCAATTTTGTATATGGAAAGATAATTTATTTTGTCATGACACTGTACGTTTTTTAAAACAACGGTACTATACATATTTTATGATTTTTTCTAAACTTCATTAATATCAATGCGAAATTGATTTTAAAAAGCTTATACTTTGATCTTTTACAGTTAAAAACGTGATTTAAAATTTTGTTAAATTTTCGTGCAACGCCGGAGAGGGGGGAGAGGTATAAACCTATAAGACAAAGACAAAAAGCGAAAAAATTTCGAAACAGGGAATTTTGTGAAGGAAAGGAAAAATTTATAAAAGTAGAAAATGTCCATGCAATGCCGTGCCATGCAGCTAGTCTTTTAACTAATTACGATATAGGGATATAAATGGTCAAACCATGCATTGTCATCTAACTAAACGTGTGTGCAAAATTTCAGCTCAGTCGATTGAAGACATCAGCTTCAAATTTACATTGCAAGATTTCATCCGAACATTTTACATTGTAAGTTAAATAAAATCTTGTAAGAATATAGCGTACTTTGTACATATGCTGAATATAAATATTGTAAAATATCTCGTTGTGCAAATCAAACAAATTTCAAACATATTTTACACTAAAAAATAATAATTGGAGGCACGGGTTATCGATCCACGTGCCTCTAGCATGCTAGGCGAGCGCTCTACCATTTGAGGTACACCCCCGGTTCACACCTGTGTTGTTATAAATATACTCGCCTAATCACCTGAACAAGATCGTTACAGTGATTAGGGCAATTAAAATTCTTATGTGAGAAACTAGAATCGTGTAAATAGATATCATAGAATGTTTCAAAGAAAATAGAAATAGCTTGATAGATCTTCTTTTCTTAGTGTTTCCTCTAAAACAGTAAAAATCTAACATATTTTGTAGGTATGGTGAGGGGAAGTATAGTCAAATATCCCGTTGTACAAATCATACGAAATTCAAAAATATTTTACATGAAAAAATAATAAT